CCCCGAGGCTCCCGGCGCGCGGCGGAGGACACGCCCCCTGCTTCCTGCCCCGCCCCCTCCCCTCTTTGCACAGCCTAACGGACAAAACCGCGACAGGAGGAAGAGGCGAGGAACGCAGACGCGGCGGCAAAGGGGAGGCGCGTGCGCATGCGCCCGGCACCCACCTGGACAAGCCCCGCCCCACTTTCTGTCTCGCCTGCCTGAGGGGGCGAAGGTGGTCGAGGGTCGCGTCGTCCGCGACGGCCTCCGTTTGTCCCCCTTAGAGGAAAACTGCGGTTTCCCGTCTGTGGTCGTGGAGGGTCCCCCCCCCGTAGGAAGCTACGTTGCCCACAAAAAGCGTTTGGGGGCTTTCCTCAGCCCCCTCGGGCCCCACGGAAGCTTTTCTGGCAGAAGGAGGGGTGAAAGGCGGAAACGGGGCCTAATTCCCCCCAGGCCCGGCTTTTCTACTTCGGCCGCTTTCCTACAAAATAGGACAAAGAACACCGCCAGACAAGGTGTTTTCTCCATCAGGATGCCCAGACCCCTCACCCTTTTATTTTTTGATTGCCTGTTCTGAGGCTTTTTTGCCCCAAAGTCATTCTTTTGCACGTTGGCCAACATCTTCCCCCATCCCTTAACGGACTGCAGCAGAGAAGGTATCAGTGACTGCAACGAGGAGGTCTTGACTGAGCTAGAATAAGCAAACCAGGACAAGAGACCACCAGGAGATCCCCAGAGCAGTACACTAAACTGAGAAGTTGGGAAAAAGGAAAAAGCTTCCTCAAGAATGCCGTTTTATTTAGTTGTTTAATGCAGTTGCGAGGCTGCCAGATTCCGGATGACTTTGGGTAGCTTTATTTATTTTTTTAAGTAAGAACTATTCAAAAAGGAAATATCACGTGTCTCCAGAGGCAAACTCTATACCAGCAAAACATCCTGCAGCGGCTCAACTGCAAGATGCGTGGCTATATAAATATGATAAAAAAATAAACAAACTGCTCCTCTGTCCCAAGGCCTTAATAAATAAACTGCCCCTCTGTCCCAAAAAGTCACGTTTTCAGTGACTTTTTGAACGTCGTCAGAGCAAGAGCTGTATGGATCTCTGACAGTGGCAAACTACTTCCATATTGCTAAGATAACGTCATGGCTGTGCCACTCCCAGCCTTGTTACCTAGAATCTGGGTTAACACAACACGCAGCCTATTCACATTGTGGAAAGATCTAGCAGCTCTGTTAGACCCCATACTAAGCTTTGCTAATGTTAACCTTGGCTGGGGTTTTATGTGTATGTAGAGGTTAGCATATGGTATGAACCCAGCTCACTTGGTTAGTTTATAATTGAATGTACTGTATTGTGCAAATCCAGAAAATAGATTAATTCAGTAGCCAAGTACAGTAATATATTAGTTTAAATATTAATTTGTTTTATTATGAAAGCCAGTGTCGTGCAGTGCTTAGGATGTTGGACTAGAACCTGGGAGACGGAAGACCAAGTCCACTCTCATCTATGGAAGCTCACTGAGCAACTTTGGGCCAGTATTTTCCCTCAACCTACCCTTGGATTTCTGTAGTGGAAAAAAACAGAAGGACTGCTATATATGTTGTGTTGATCTTCTAGAGGAAAGCTGGAATATAAATCTATGTTTATATTTGTATCAATTTTCATACTTTATTTTCCCATTACAAATGCTTTTATGTTCCTTTAATCATTTTGACAAAATGACTTACAAGCAGCAACAAATATACAATAATACAGCTGTTTTAAATAAATATATTAAACATTTATGTAATTAATATTTTAGTTAAGCAATTTATATGGTTGGTCAACTCGCTAATTACACCTCAGTAATACAGTTGAGCAATCAAGATATCATAGTCATAAAACATTAGCACTACATTATTACCAGCAAAAACATATATTCCCAAGTGCTTCCTCAACACTCAGACCCCAGATACATGTTGGAAAAGCCATGTTTTTGGAATATTAAAAGTGGTTCCAGATCTTTGTGTGGTGGGAGGGCAATTTTATAGTTTTTTATTTGTAATTGTTTTTATGTACAGTAATACCTTGGTTCATGAACGCTTCTGTTCACGAACAATTCAGTTCGCGAACAGCAGCATTCGCAAATTTTTGCTTCTGTTTGCAAACTCCACATCAGGTGACGAACACGACCCATGGCCATCTTCCCTGCTCTGACATGTGGTCGTAGCTTCCTCTAGGCGAGATCGCAGTCGCAGACACTTGCTGTGAAGCTTTTTGGTGTTGCCTCAAGCAAGGTTAGTGTTCCCTCTCTTCATACTGTACTGTACTTTGTTTCATATTTTTGTGATTAAAAAAAAAAACATGGTTCAGAACAGATTAACCTTATTTACATTGAACCTTATGGGAAAATTTCATTCGGTTGGCGACCAGTTTGGTTGGCGACCACGTTCATAGGGGTCAAAACGGATTAACTTTATTTACATTGAACCATATGGGGAAATTTGATTTGGTTTGCGACCAATTCGGCTCGCGACCAGAATCGTGGAACAAATTAAGTTCATGAACTGAGGTACCACTGTATTTATTCTTTTTAATTGTTGTACACCGCCCAGAGTCACTTTGTGTGAGGTGGGCAGCTATATAAATACAATAAATAATCAATCCACAGCAGGGGAGCGCCTGCAGAGAATGCCTGCGTCCGAGTCCCAGTTGGTTGCGCTTGGTTTAAGTAGTATGCAGAAATGATTCAACTGTATGCAATAATACAGAAGCTAACAGAGTTTTGCAAAGAGAATTCTGCTTGTCGCAAATCCCTGCTTCACAGTGCATACTGTAAATGCAGAAGACTCGCATGGCTACCATTTAATGGCAATAATGGAATCAGATTCCATTATTAATGTCATATATTTGAGGTCATTTATTCCCAATTATATATGTCCCATCAGATCCAGCAGGCGGGGTGTGCTCTGGGTCCCGTCAGCCAAGGAGTGTCGTCTGATAGGACCAAGGAAGAGAGCCTTTTCTGCTGTGGCACCTGCCCTTTGGAATGTCATCCCCGAGAGATCAGATGGGCCCCAACCCTGCTGGCCTTTCAGAAGACCCTGAAAATGTGGTTTTGCCAACAGGCATGGAGTGTGGTGGCTGTGCAGTGGCTGTACTGAGTGTTTTGATGTATGTGATTACTTTGTGAGTTTTATGTATTTTATGATGATTTTGTATTGTTTTGTGTTGTGTCATTTGGTTGGTTGTTGCATTATTTTAACTGTTTGTAAGCTTTATGAGAATGGCAACTACAAAGAGAGAGAGAGAGAGGAGATGGATGGATGGATGGATGGATGGATGGATGGATGGATGGATGGATATAGATTAATTAGATGAACTTAAAAATAGTGGGTGTGCCAATGATATATGTCCTGCAGAATGTACAGCCCACAGGCATTTGGTACAAACTGATAGTGAAAAACATACATCATCCACAAACCCTAATCTTTTGGACTTACTTCCTGGTGATGGACACAAATGAGTAAATCATGTGCCTTCACATGCAGTTTTGTTATTTGTCCCCACTTGCTTTCCTTGCATATACCTGTGATACAGCCACAATATAAGATCAATGTAAGGAACTATTTTGGTACATTTAATTTATGGAAAAAGAAGTGAAAACTGAAGCAGAAAAAATATTCCCAAACTTCAAAGACAAAAGATCAAAGTAACTTTTCAAATAAGCTATTGTGATAGCCAGGGAAAGGATGACACGTTAGACAACAAGAAAGATGTACAAGGACTGAATAAAGCCTTTCATTGACAAAAAGAATCTCAATTTTAAAAGTTTGAAGAGTTAAATAAAACAAAATAAAACAAAACACACACACAGAAATATATTTTTAAGGAAATCTGAGAAAGGAAATTTTACAGCCAAGGAGTATTGAAAAGTAATCAAATAAAAGATCTGAAAGGAGGTAAAAGAAGATGGGAAGACTATAATGTAACACAAACAGGATTACAGAATGCTAGAAATATTTGTTCAGAGTATATATTCAAGAAAGAACCAGGTAAAGAAAAAAATCTACTGAATGGTTTAAAGCTACAGGAAAGGGCAGTTAAAGTGTTTACAGCTCTGTGTCAAACATGGAACTAGAGTGGCCTATAGGTTGAAAAAGATTCATCTATATAACTAAACAGCTTCTAGACTTTTTGGGAAGCAGTATACAAATGTTTTAAATAAAGCTATTCCAAAAAGGAGATGGAAGAAAATGTGCAATTTATCGGCCTATCGCACTACATAATTCCTCTTGCCAGCAAAAGGGTTTTACTTAAACTCTTGCAAAGAAAACAGGGCCATACATGCAGACAGAAATGCTAGATGATTAGACTGGCTTCAGAAAAGATAGACATAAAATTAGTTTGGTGATATAAGACAGCTATGGGGGAGAGCAAGAGAACAGAAGAGAGAAGTCACTGACTACTGCAGGGTCTTTAAATATGTAGGTCATGCCAGAATGTGAAGCATATAAAACTAATGGGTGTGCCAGAACTCCAATCGTAAAGGATACTTCTGCTGATAATAAAGATAATGAAGGATATAGATAATTCTAAGACAACAAACATCTGCATGTTTTAAAAATAACCTTTCTAGTAATAGCGTACTGTTGTGAAAACTGGACACTGAGGAAAAATACACACCCAAGATGCCTTCCCATTGTGGATATGGAGATTGTTACTAAGAATCCCCTGGACTCCAAGAAGAACCAGCCAGTCAGTTCTGCACCCAATGAAAACCGACTGTGCCACTGAGAAAGGATCAGCAGACAGACGCTCCTGTCCCTTGGGCCTGTGGGCTAGAAAAAATGACAATGCTTGACAAGGATGAAGAGGTAGAAGAAGGGAGATGGTGGGTAAGAAGGACGAACAGGATTAGAGATTCCTGGCAAGTCCTTGGAAGAGCTGCAAGATATTGCTAAAGGCAGGTCAAGGTAGGAAGCCTTTGTCCAACTCAATGGCACTTAACCAGTGAGCAAATTCAAAGTATTTACAGAACATGGAATTCCTGCAATTTAATTTTGTTTTCAAAACATTTTCCCTGTTTATGTTTGGAAATGTTTTAAAAATAAAATGAGTTTCTTAAGCTCCAAAACTGGAAAACAAAAGGTAAAGCCAAATGGGATTTTAAAATATGTTTTATTGTAAACTAATTTAAATTAAGATTGCTCCCTTCAAACCTGTCTCCTGATCACTGCATGGAAACAACCAGGTTCTTTTCTTAGCAACAGGATAGAAGTGTTTTTTCAACAGCCCAGGGCAGCCTACCAGCACTAAGATTTCCTGGTGGTCTCCCATCCAAACACTAGCCAGATCCAACCCTGTTTACTTTTTCAAACCTTCAGCCAAGGTCCAGTGTGTACTATTATCTGCTGTGCAAAACTGCAGTGTATCCCAATACTCTGCAAGAAAATATTAAAGCAAAAATACGTTTGAACATACTGTATGCCCCTTGCAAAGATAAAATCTGTGCAGTTTCATTTTTAATACCAAATATATACGGTGTTGCACTTACTGGTTGATAATATTGCTTTGTTCATTTTTAATGCTGCACTTAAATTTTGGGCGAGTTACTTGATTGCCTCTCATAGATTACCAGCCAGAGTTCTTGTTCAGGGATTCGGGCAGCTCTGCTCTTGCGCGTTCCTCCCACATCCCATTTACTCCGCAACAGATTCTCCGCCTTCACAGCCACAAAATACATTCCATTTCTTTGGAGATTTTCTTTTTTTATTGATGGATTGATTGAGGGAAGGATCAAATTAATTTGTTTGCTTTTTTCCTCTACTACTGTAATGATTTAAACACATGCAAATAATAACAAATGCTTCTGCAACTATTGTGGCATTCCCAAGCATGATAACAACTCTTTTTGGCTTCTCAGAGAGGCGGTGTTAGCCGCCGAGTTCACAGCCTCAGCCAAATTCAGCCACACTGAGTTCACAGAGCAACTTGGTTCTTTCCCGTCCTGTATGAAAATACACTGAATAGGGTTCCAGAACAGGGCTGTTTCGCAACTCAACATGGGAACTGCCTTTGGGAAAAAGTACGGGTGGGATTGTCTCAGATACTAAAATCCTCTGATTACATGACTTGATCTGAGTTTGCTCTCTTAGGGGAAACTTACAACCTGCTTGTTTAGTCACTGTCTGATCAACTCATGAATGTGGGAATTAAGAGTGCCGTCTTTATTCTATTTATTCGTTTTGCAGTTCTGGAATATCAGACTGATAGGATTCAGTTGCCTGAGTTTGCTAGTAAGAGCCAGTGATGGAGAAATGTCTTTGCAGAACTGCATCGTCTCTGCGACAGTTCTGAGGAATGACCATGAATAGTTTGACATCCCAGAGTTGTAACTTCTGAGTATTGGTAGGCTGCGCACCCCTTTCAGCTCCAAGCACGTGAAAAATCAAAACGCGTGGATCAATATTCCGCCCAGCAGAGGGCTCGGGATCCTCACGACCAAGATCACAATTCTCTTTTGTGCCAAATTCTAATTGTGAAAAATGTTCTGCTGTGTCCCCTTTCTTCAAGGGCAAATTCCATCCATTCACTAAAGAAAATAGAGCTCGTGTTCCAAAATGTCATTTCTAAAAGTATAGTTACTGCTTTGGTTTTTTTGTTATTTTATCCTGCCCTCCCCCCATGAAATACACTTAACTGTTCACTGTTTCTAATATTCATGCATCAGACTGAAGAAGGAACAGAGCTGCCTGACTGACATCCTAAAGGCCAGAATAAAATCTCAAAATGAGGTATGCAGATCCATGCACGCATTCATTTGTACACATTGCACTAACACCAATAATTTTGAAAAGGGGTGTGTGTGTGTGTGAGAGAGAGAGAGAGAGAGAGATCATGCTATTCTTTCTGCAAGCTCATTGTCCTCCGGAGAGAGGCAGCTGTTTTAAGAGACCAGGTTTTAAGTCAAATTTCAGACCTGTGGGTGATGTCGAATTAACTACCCATATTTTGGGAACCTTCCATGTTTTATTTTTCTGTGTTGGAAATGTCAATTGTTGAGGATGTCCTTTTAACATCTGTTGGTGGCATGTGAGTCTTTTCATCATTGGGGAATATACGCCGAAGATCCAATTTTAAGCTGCTGAGAGTACATGTAGTAACTATATGAATAAAATGTACAGGGGATTACACAAATGATCGAATTCTAAGGTTCATCTGGGTTTTTAAAAGTGGTATGCCTTTCCCCACCATGTCCGTTCTCCTTCCTCCTTCAAATTAGCTGGCAAGAGTAGGGTAAAATGGAAGACCAGAAAAGATTCAACCTGTCCACCATTAACGTTCAAATCTATCAGACCTGCAGAATGCAGAAGCCCATACGGATGCAAAACAGAGACTGCTTTGGGGCCAGTCTTACGCCATCAAGCATTCTGTTGCCTCAGTGGACAACCAATGTCAACAGGGGTGCCAACAGGGTGTGGTGAAAAAAGTCAAGATGGCGGCCAGGATGGAGCAATTGAAGCTTTGCCCACTTTTTATGGGCATCACCCATGCAACACATGTGAAAAACAGGCAGTGCTATCTTGACTTTTTTCACTACACTCTGCAGACATCCCTGGACACCTCACAGACTGGCTATATGCAGTATCTTCTTATCTCCCCATACATCTCCCCAGTAATACAGCTATTCTGACTCAGAATTAGTGCCAACTTTCTTTTTCTTCTTTCTTCTCCCTCCCTCCCTTTCTCCTTCCTTCCTTCCTTCCTCCCTTCCTTCCTTCCTTCCTCCCTTCCTTCCTTCCTTCCTCCCTTCCTTCCTTCCTTCCTCCCTTCCTTCCTTCCTTCCTCCCTTCCTTCCTTCCTTCCTCCCTTCCTTCCTTCCTTCCTCCCTTCCTTCCTTCCTTCCTCCCTTCCTTCCTTCCTTCCTCCCTTCCTTCCTTCCTTCCTCCCTTCCTTCCTTCCTTCCTCCCTTCCTTCCTTCCTTCCTCCCTTCCTTCCTTCCTTCCTCCCTTCCTTCCTTCCTTCCTCCCTTCCTTCCTTCCTTCCTCCCTTCCTTCCTTCCTTCCTTCCTTCCTTCCTTCCTTCCTTCCTTCCTTCCCTCCCTTCCCCCTCCAATTGGCCAACTCTAAGTAAGTGGGGTTAAAAGCAATGAAAATCATATTTAAACACAAAATCATACATTATAATACCATAAAACCAGGAGACATGCTCAGAAGAATGAGGTCAGTAGTTATAGCAAGTTGTCCAAGTTGTTGAATTTCATAGTTCATCTGTGCACTACGTGAAGCAATTCGTTCTGTCCTGACAAGATATTCTGCCCTTTCATAAAAATCAAAAGCATTATTGTGACCCATAAAGATATGGAGACAATCAGAAGTATTCTTGAAGGTTTAATTTGGGTTGCTAGCCAAACTGAAGGGGCAATCTACTTCTCGGATTTGAACCTGGGTTTGCCTGTTTGGCTGTATGAACAAACAGGCCAGTCCTGGGTACTGTAAGTGCCTTTCATACATGCCCATCACTTTCAAAAATTGAAAGCTGGATCCATGATGCTGTGATCAGATGACTGCTGTGCTACCGTAACAATGAAAAGATGCACAGACCCATGATGGAGCATCTCATAGAACTTAATTCCAAACAACAACAAAAAAATATATAGCATGTGATTTTTTTTATAACAAAAAATTGTGAGTGAATTATCCCTTCTTTTGCAAGATCTGGCCAGGTTTCCCAGATTACACTGGTATATGACTTGATTAATGCTCTAATCAGTACCTATAAAACTATTCATGCCAAGGCTTTCTGTAGATGTTTATTTGACTTACAGTAACAAAAATCTATGAAGTTCCACATTTAATGTACAATGATATATTCTGAAATATAAAATACAATTTACAGAAACCTCTGTCAAGTAAACCTAAACAACACTTGATTTAGCATACTTACATGTATGGTTTTAAGTTAGAAACATCTTGAATAAAAAAATTACATCATAGTAGATATTTGCGTTCTATACTACCTCTTTAATGTTTTGCAAAAGATTTTGCAAACAGGCCATTTTTTAATGTCAGCATGTCCATGATGTTTAAAGACTAAGATGTACCAATATAAAGTATAATTATGTAGTGATTTATTTATGGAGTAGTACTATTTATAATGCAGATTTCAAAATGCAGATGTTACGAATCTAATTTTACATTTGCAAATGTTTACAAAAATATCATCAAAGTAACTGTTCATCTGTAAATGTATAAATCCAATTCAACTGGTAATGTTTTTCTATGTACGGATTAGAATTATATTACGAACTTGAAGAATACAGAAAAAGTAATAGAATACTGTATTTCACAGTGAAAAGCCTTCCCTTTTAAAGCACAGAATTGTTAGTAACGGCTTTATTTCTCCAATCTTTACACAATATTTACTTCCAATTTCATCACAATCGCCATGAATTCACATGGACAGGAGATATTCCTGTCAAAATTAAGAATTTCAGTACCATTGATGTCAATGGGATGACAATTACCAGCATCCTGAAATCTCTCCCACCTAAGTTGGACCTTAAATGTTCTTAATCTTGGCTCAACTAAACTGTTTTTAGTTCATGAATCTTTTTGACCGATAACCCTAAGAAAAGTCAAACTGCTTCAACTCAATGCTTGATGTATTAATCCTGATAACGATCCTTCCTCCCCACTTTGTTCAGTCAATTTATGTTTAAAAAATTCCAATAAGTGATTTTTAAAGCTTAGTTGTAATTGATACAGAGGGCATTAATTTTCATCATTACACCTGTTATAAAAATGCAGGATTTTAAAAGAGTCTATTGATAAGAAAGGTAGCTACCTATGTAGACATATGTATTTATTGTCTGAGCTCTTAAATCAGTTGAAGTTACATTCAAAATGCCCTCATGTAAAATATGAGTTTAGAAATTTAACATTTCTTATTCAAATACTCTGCAAATTACAAATAAGTAGCAACACTGCTCTTCAGCCATCATTTCTTAAGTACACAAAAGCCATCTATAACTAGATTAACTCAGGACAGAAATATTGACTTTTGCTGTTATGTAGGAACCCGAAACACCAAAACACTATATATTTGAGATGAAAAGGTATGGCTTCTAAGATCTTGCTTAAATTCTCATAAAATTACCAATCAAGTTATTGGAAAACACAACTTTGAATCCTTTAAAAGCAATGTGCTTTTTGAAGACAGTTCCCATTTTTTAATGTCTGCAAATGGAAATTCAAGATAAAGAAAATAGTAAGAAAAAAAGCCACGTCATGGAACTGTTAGGCCCCCACCATGATCCTTCTCTGGGGGGAAGCAGGCCATGCACATGAGCCCTGAGGACCGCTGCAGACCCCTCCTCTAAAAAGGCAGGGCAGTGGTCCTGTGCCCTACTGTAATCTTATCTGTACACTGGGGCTGGGACCGTCCAGGGAAGGGTTGTCTCTGATGTATTCTGTAAGAAAACGTTATGAACAAAATGTATCAAGTCCAGGATGTACCTGCTTCCTACCTTAATATATGCATTTACAATTCAAAATTTGTCTCATTTTTATGAAAGCTTTTACCAAAGTATTTTCTAACAGAATATACAATATATACAAGTAATACAGTCAATTCTTACATGTTTTGCCCCCTTTACTTCTAAGTGACTCATTGTCGAAGGGTCTTTTTTTTGCTTCTGAAATGTCTACTTAGCAGGAGAAGGAGCAGCTTCTGGATACGATGGCTTCTGGCTGCCCGTCTGTGGTTCTGGCTTAGAGTCTCTGTCACACTCCTTACTTTTGCTCCGCTCCTTGCAGTCCCTTCCTCTATCTTTGTCGCGGTCCCTCTCTCGATCCCTCTCTTTCTCTCTCTCCCGGCTGCGGGGCCTGTCCCTGTCCCTGAATCTGTCGTAGTCGCGGTCTCTGCTTCTTGATCGGTTCCGTCTTCGATAAGAATCCCCTTCTCTGGTCCTGGTTCTCTCCCGGTTCCTTTCCCAGTCTTTGACCCGGTCTGAATCCCTTTCCCTGTCTTTATTGTAGTTTCTATCTCTATTTTTATCCCAATCTTTCTCTTTGTGCCTCTCCCAATCCCGTTCCCTACCCCTAGTCCAGTTTCTGCCACGATCCCTTTCCCAAGCCCAGTTGTGTTCCCGATCCCTCCGTCTATCATCATTTCCTCTGTTTGATCTATTATCTGATTTCTCAGGTTGCTCTAAGGCTTTTTCCTTATTACCTCCCTCAAATCTTTCCCTCTGCCTCCCTTCAAAAGCCTGGCCTCTGTAGTCATTACTTCGACTATCTCGAAAATCAGATGCTGGCCACTGTGCTTCTGATGCAGAACCCTGCCCTGAAATATTAGGATGAGAAGAAGATGGTCCAGATTCATCCCATATCTCTTTCCTGTGCTGTGGAGGATGGCTTGGAAGATCCAAAAGTGGTCTGGGGGGTGGTTTCATACCTTGTTGAGACTGTCCTGGAAAATTAAGTCTATTAGGAGTAGAATCATTTTGTTCTGAAAATGGGGCAGGTGCCGGTCCCCTTGGTCCTCCAAATTGATGTGGTGCTGGACCCCTCTGGTTTGGAAATCTGGGTGGTGGACTTCCTCTCCTGTCTTCAAATGGTGAGGGCAGAAGTCCCCTTGGTCCTGGCATGTGACCTGGTGCAGGTCCTCTTTGTCCTTCAAACTGATTTGGAGGAGGACCTCTTGAACCTCCAAAATGATTAGGTGGTGGACCTCTTGGTCCTCCAAACTGAGTTGATGGGCCCCCTCTTTGATTTTTAAATTGATTTGGTGGAGGCCGCCTTTGGCCCCCAAAAGGAAATTGAGATGGTCCTCTATTTCCTACAAACTGTGGAGGCTCAGATCCTTCAAACTGTCCAGGAGGACCACTCATCTCACGATACTGAGAATCTGAAAATTCTCTCTGTTCCACATGAGATTCTCTATGATCTTCAAATTGAGAGGGTGCCTTTTCTCTTGGCCCACCAGGAAATGAGGGTGAAGGGCCCCTATTTTCAACAAAAAGAGGTGGACCATGTGCAGAAAATAATGAAGGAATAGGTGCTCTTGGAGTTGGAAACCTGTTTGGTGGTGGACCCCTTGGTCCATCATTGTTTGGTGGAACATTATGCCCTTCATTAAACTGTTGTGGTAGACCCCTTTGTCCATGGAAATCAGAAGCACTACACATTACTGGAGGGCCACCTTTTTGTCCAGCTGAAGAAAATGGAGGACCACCTCTTACTTCCTCGCTTTGAATTGTGGAAGATTCCATCTGTTCATAAAAGTGGCAAGACTGAGGATTTATTTCACCTTCATAATTCAACTGACCTCTTTCTGCTTCAAAGTGACCAGGAACCTTCTCCTGAGATGGAAACGTTGTACTTGAAAAAGAATCTCTTACGACTCCTGGAACATTACTGTCCTGAGAGGCATTTGACCAAGTTACAGTCTGAGCATTATTAGAGCCTGAGAAAATGGGGAGAAAACATGGATTGGGAGGTGTGGGTAGCAGTACTTTACGAATAGGTGCACTTGTAGGCGATTCAATAGAAGCTGGTTTATTTATAATGTCCTGGTGAATTTGTGGAACATTTTCAAAACTGATAGGCACATTTTGCTCAGAGACAGCAGAACCCGTTTCACTTGCAATCCATGCTTCATTATGACATTTATCCTCTTTGTCAAATGAAGCTTGCAGTGGACCTGAATAGCTGGATGGAGGAATCTGTCCAGCAGAGGATTCTCCCTGTATCACATGTTGCTTTATATTAAAGTCAACACTTTCATTACACTCAGTTAGAATTCTTCTAGCTTGTCGGGGATCTCTGCTTTGTCTAGGATCATTTCCTTGGTTGAACACTTGAGACTGAATGGAGGAAGTAGGCATTTCAGATTTTTCAGAGATTTGTTTTTCATGTTGGAATAACTCAGTTTTTGCTATGGATGATTTTGGAGGTGGTGACATTAAAGCATCAGATACTGAAAAATGAGCCATTGATACACCAACAGCTGCCCTTTGCTGTCTGAGTGCTTCTTCTTGTTCTTCAAGTTGTCTTTTCTGTTCTTCTATTTGCTTATTTAGTTCTTCTAGCATTTTCTGTTGCTCTACCAAGGATGGTGCAGCAGCTGTATCAGGCACAAATGGGGCAGATGTGGTTATAGAGTTGTTCTTAGAGTCTAAATACATTTTGTTAGGTAAATCGTCCACAGCAACTTTTGCTTCTTCTAAGATAGTTTCATCTTCTGGATCATAGGCTTCATCTTCTTGTTCTGAAGTTTCACAGCATTTCTCAAGTCTGCTTTCACCGGCCTGCATTTCAAAAGCTCTCTCTGGAGCATATTCTTCCTCAGGATCATAAGGTCTATCATCTTCCTCCTCTTCAATAGCTTTATCTTTTGACATCTGTCCAAACTGTTGCACAATGGGGTCTATTAAAGGTGCAGCAGGTAGTCCTTCATCAGTAACAACTTGTACTTCAGGCTTCGAAGTATGAGTACCTTCAGGTTCCTTGGGAACAGGGTCAAAACTCTTCTTTTTCCCAAAAAGGGTTTGCAAAATGTGATCAAGCGGTGTGGATGATTTTGAGGTTGAGGGACCAGTAGAAGACCCAGTAGTGGTAGTGCCTGACGCTGAAACATTAGATGGTGCCACAGTGTTTGAGTTTCCTGCTTTAACTGATGACCATATTTTTGATACAGAAGGTGCTACTGTTGAAGATGGCTCTGAGGGTGGATTTGGAGGTGGAGGTGGAGGAGAACCAGGAGGTGTTGTACTGGCTGTTGTTTCTCCAGAATACAGTGCAAATTTTGCAGATTTCTTTTCTTGCTGTGGAAGTGTGCCGCCCTTAGGATATCCTGATACTTCCATTTCTTCCTGTATCTGGACTCGGCTTCTCTTCTCGTCAGCCTTTTCTGATTCCAGTACAGCTGCAGGACGCTTAGTTTTCTGACAAATCACTAATCCAAGAATTAAATTTGGACGGGTTGATTCAAGACCTAAGGGGAAAAGAAGAAACAAGAAGTTTAGAATTCAAAGAACCATTTTTTAAAAAATAATTTAATGTTTTAACATTAGGGAGAGTTACTAACCCTGGCAAGTACTTTGTTAACTATAAATTAGTTATATTTGTTATTTTATTTATTCTAAGATATAGTCAAAAAGTTTATTACTAAAATAATGAATTAAGAAATATGAATTTTGATATGATTAAAAAGTTGTAAATATTTAATTTAAATGAAAAGGTTAACTAATATCATTCAGGAAAGAAGCTTATGCCATGTATCATTTTAACATATTTACAAACACACTATGGTTATGATGCATTACCTCCATGTGTTGCTGAGAATATTACCTACATTTGTGTAGTAGAATTGTTAAGTGTTACTTTTACATATTCAGTTATAGAATGATACCCAGAAGATGGTTTGTAGTTTAAATGTACCAAAAATATTCTGAGCATAAAATATTGAAATTCATAGTAACATAGAAAAAACAAAACAATTCGCCACGTTTGTAATCCACAAGTGTTGGGGCTCAGTTTTAAACATGCTATCGGTATTATAACAATATGGTATGTTTTACATTTGAGGTTATTTGATTTGGGTTTCCAAATTCAGTAATTGTTTATGGGTGAACATATTCCTTGACCCACGGTAGTTGATCCAATCTATCAAACTGAAACAGACCTGTCAGTATATAGGTATTGTATGTATGTATTTTTCATCATGGATCATGTCATTTGCAAAAAAGAAATTTGCAGTATAGGTGTCAGGTTCAGCCCAAGAAACTCAGCGGGCCAATTCAGGAACAGTTCAATTATTTCATTAGCTTAGACCTACTAGACAGAATCTTGCCAGACTAACTCTAACCCCCAACAACAGCAACTAAACACTGAATTCCTTAAGGTGGTGCCAGTCTCATTCTCTTAGTTTTCACACGCTCAGGCTGTGGGCTGAGGAGATGCTTGAGATTCCTCTCCCCCTCCCTATGACCTTGGACCTCCTCACTCAAGTCTTCCATCACATCAGGTCAATGACATTTACCGTCAGTTATATATACAATGGTCCTTAAAAGTTTGTGAACCCTTTGGAATTTTCCATATTTCTGCATAAATATGAGCTAAAACGTAATCTGTCCTCCACACGAGTCCTAAAACTCGATAAAGAGGACCCAGTTAAACAAATGAATAAAAAACATTAGACTTGTTCATTAATTAATTGAGGAAAATGATCCAAAGCTACATATTTGTGTGTAGCAAAAGTATATGAACCTCTAGGATTATCACTTCATTTGAAAGGGAAATTTAGTCAGGTGTTTCAATCAATGGGATGATAATCAGGTATGAGTGTGAGAGGTCCTGCCTTATTTGAAGAACAGAATTCTGGGTATTCACTATCAATGATCTTCACAACACAGGTATGTGGAAGTGTGTCATCCCTCGAACCAAGGAAATTTCTCAGGATTTCCAAAAAACAGTTGTTGAGGTTCACCAATTTGGTAAGGTTACAAAACTGTTTCCAAAGAATTTGGAGTCCATCAGTCAACTGTTGGGCAGATTGTGTACAAATGGAGGCAATTCAACACCATTGTTAATCTCTCCAGAAGTGGTCAGCCGACCAAGATCACACCAAGAGCAAGGTGTGTAATACTCCAGGAGAAAAAGCCCATTGCATTGGTGAATGTCAGTGTTCATGAGACCACCATGGTGGCGTGCAAGGCAAGGTTGCAAGGAGAAAGCCACTACTCTCCAAAAAGAACATTGCTGCCTGTCTACAGTTTGGGAAAGACCATGTGGATAAACCAGAAGGCTATTGGAAGAATGTTCTGTGAATGGATAAGACCAAAACAGAACTTTTTGGCTTGAATAAGTGTTGTATTTGACAAAAGGCAAACACCGAATTCCAGCATAAGAACCTTATCTCATTTGTGAAACATGGTGGCAGCAGTATCATGGTTTGGGCCTGCTTTGCTGCCTCTGGACCAGGACAGCTTGCCATCACTGATGGAATTATGAATTCTGAATTCTACCAGCAAATTCTACAGGAAAATGTCAGAGTTTCTGCCCATGAACTGAAACTCAAGAGCAAGTGGGCCATGCAGCAAGACTATGACCCAAAAGACACAAATTATAAGACCAAAGAATGGTTAAAAGCTGGAGAAAGCTAATGTTTAGGAATGGCCAAGTCGCAGTCCTGACCTTAATCCTAGAGAAATGTTATGGAAGGACCTGTACAGGCAGCTCATATGAGGAAGCCCATCAACATCCCTGAGTTGAAGTTGTTCTGTAAGGAGGAATGAGCTAAAATTCCTCCAAGCCAACGTGCAGGACTGATCAACAGTTATCAGAAATGTTTAGATGCAGTTACTGAAAGCCAAGTAAATATACTTTACTTTTGCCACACACAAATTTGTAGCTTTGGATCATTTTCCTCAATTAATCAATGAACAAGTTTAATGTTTTTGACTCATTTAATTGGGTTCTCTTTATCTAGTTTTAGGATTTGTGTGGAGGACAGATCAGGTTTTAGGTCGTATTTATGCAGAAATATGGAAAATTCAAAAGGGTTCACAAATTTTTAAGCATCACTGTACGCAGATTTTGCACTAAAACAGAAGATCTCAGAATTTAAATATTAGAAGCTAACAGAAAAAAATAGTGTATCTTGGTAGTTTCCAAATAATTAACTAATTATCAGTTACATCTCACAGAAAAACATTTCATCCAAAAAGTCATATTCTTTGTAGAGCATTGCAAAGATTTTATGGAAAGAAGTGTATTACAGTAGAATTCTTCAGTTGCTTGAAAGAAAAAAACAGACCAGTTATGAATAAAACTGATGGTTCAGAAGGTCAATAATTTTAAGTATATTATTATGTATTTCAATGATTCAACAAGTTTATATTTTTACAGTCAATCCACAAAAAGTGAATGCTACATGTATGTGCATCCCTTTGGAAACCTCTATGACTATTTTGTAAGGCCATGCTGAATTTCACATAAGGGTCAGAATTTGTGATTGGACTGTGTTTCTTTTTCTCAAATGTAATTTTCCTGTCAACTGACTGAAGTATTCAGCAAAAGAATAGAGTATGTAAAAGGAATGCTTCAATCAATAAAGAAACAATTATACTTTGCATTCTAGTAGTCCATAGTGGCATACACAAATATTCTTAATTTTACCATAACAAAGATCAGGATCAAAATAATTGATAGCCCATTCTCTAACCGCCTTTAATTCTGAATGTAACTTCGTCTATTTGTACCCCTATGTACTGGGCCTACTATTCTGAAGTTATTCAACAAAATATTGCAGGGTGTTAAGCTTAAATTACTAGTTTAGTATGTTTTATTGACCACTCCCATTCATCCCAAACTACTTGTTAGGTAATATTTGCATACAGCTGAGGAGAATTTTCAAAAATGTGTTTTATTATACGTAAAGTCATTCGGGAATGGAAGAAATATTTGGGTGTTTTTAAAGGAAAATAGTATACACTTACAGACAATATATGAGGAAATGGAAATTTGTTGCTTAACAGAATTCGCTATTTCCTAATTTTCTAGGCAGCATGACAAATTAGAGGTTTTCATAATGAAAACTGAAACTATTAAAAGGTTGTAAGTCTTCTTTATCCTAAAAAGGAATCAATTTCTGATGCCCATGGCAAGAAATTAGATTATACTGTATTTCATGTTCAGGTGAGAATACACAGAAACTATACTTTTGACTTCTATATTATCACTTCTGCAAGCTTTCCAAGAGATGATCCTCATTTGTTACTGGTCAAATAGAAACTCCTGTAAGACTCCTTCAATGCCTCTCCTTTCACCTCTGCCCCTTCCTCAACACCAATCTTATCCTTTATTCCTAGCTGGCATTCACACCGTTAACCTTGGTTTACATCATCCCCCAAGATGGTTGCCCTCATACTGTCAAACAAGTCTCAGCTGGAATACAAGCAATATATTCCATGTTTTTGAGGGAATTATTAGAATGAAAAGCCTGAGCTATAGAAAAGCTTTCATCGGCATGAAATACTACTCCATTGTATCATGTTGATACAGGTCAGAACTTCAGACACTGCTAATGCCAACTGTGTCAGCTGAAAGAGTTTTCCTTCTTAGACTAGCCCTAAGCTTTACTGCTGGGAAATTGTTAGTTTTGAAAAGTGTATTGGTGTGGGCTTTGTAGGAATCTGATAATTCATTGGTGGATATGAAAGCATAGTAAGTTCCTGGACAATAGTAAATACTGCTATTATTTGAAAGCAATGACAGTCTGTGGTAGAGCAAGTACAATACCGTTGATCATTCTAATGTAAATGCTAAAAGTGCTGGAATGATTTTAGTAAGCAGAAGTCTTGCAAGAACACCCTTTGGAGCAGTGGTGGCAGGTGGACAAGTCTACACAACTCTAATCCACATAGGTTATTTTACCTCCCCTGCACTGGTGATAGTTAGGGGCAGGGTGTGGGAAGAGGAAGTAAATAAGCAGAAATAACCAGAAAAATGTATGAGTGCTTCTCAGCTCTCTTGCTGTTAGAAGGGCTCAATTTTATGGATCACAGACATGGGAGAAATGATGAATGGAGCTGTGATCATTTACACAGGAAAAGAAGATGCCTCGCTGCAGGATTCCTAAGGCTATTCTGATCCATTTTTCCAATTTCTAATTTTATTATAGATTTGGTAGAGAAATAAAACAAATAATGACTCACTGAAACTTCTCAACAAAATGGATTAAATAATTGCAATGTTATATTCCCAAGATTTTGTAATATTAAAATATATCAATCTCATTATAAATGAGAATTTCTTTTTCGTTCTCGATTTTAAGATCTGTTCAAGTAAATTCTTATAGAAAGAGAGTGTGCATGTGGCAGAAGTGCCTAGACATCCAAGAACAGGTGAGAAAGTAATACAATGTATCTATTTTGTCCATAAAGTCTTTTTTTCTTTTATCTAGAGCTATATACACTTACCTGGGAGAAAATACCATTGAACACAATAGGCCTACTTAAAATTACATGTTTAACATTTTGTAGTTTCCATCTTGAATGTATTGGAGCAAGAGGTAATTATTACTTTTGAAATACTGAGTTTTGATACTGGCTTTTTAAAAAAATGATACTCCGGAATTCAGGTAAAACAACAGTCTGAACTCTAAATGGAAACGATTGATGTAGAACAAATATTCCTTAACTGTACTTGTAAAATAATCCTACTACATGTTGCTATCCATGTACAACTGATGCTTTATTTCAAGAACTATTTAAAAATGTATGATTTATCTTACAAAACATTGAATTGAAAGAGACGATTACCACTTTGTATAAAATACTTTTATTGAGATTATATAATGAAAGCAATATTTCAGCTTTTGGGCTGGGGAACATTTATGATTTTACATCTCTTTCTGTACATTCATCCATACTACAAAGAACTAAGACAATTCCTTGTATGAAAATACTCTAATCTTAATCTTTATCAAAATTATTAGTACACAAATTCTGTTCAGTGTTTCCTTTTAAGAAAGTGTGCATTGAGAACTGCACGGTCCTTGGCTGAATTATAATCCCCATCCTTAATCCTTAAGTAAAATGGCAGCTACAGTTTGTGATGTTGTGATGCTGAATACTCTTGCATAGGAGTTGAGAACTTATTTTAAACAGTACCATCATTCCCTCCTCAAAAGTACACTGAAAGATGTATTGGTTGAACAATCCATAAAGGATATTCTAGGATGGGAATATTGGATATTCTAGGATGGGAAAGTGACCAATCAGCATTTAAAAAAAAAACTGTATAGAGAACAAAGTGCCTTTGTATGTGCTTAAACTGTAACGTTTAACCATATAAGGCAGTGTTGTGCAAACTTGGCCACTTTAAGATGAGTGGACTTCAACTCCCAGAATTCCCC